TTTAAATTTTCCCAAAAATAAGGCCCCAAAGTAAAAAAGCGGGCAGTTTTTCAGAGTCTAAGAAAAGGTAAGGCTTCCCTCTTTACGATGGGAAATTTCCATTTTTTTGGCATAATTTATTAATCAAACTTTGAAATAGGTATATATAGGGGCTTTTCAGGGGGTTTGGGCTATCCGATTTTTGGGATCCACAGCACCCTTTGGGAAAATATCCCCCTGGAAAAAGGGGCCCACTGTATAGAAATGCACTAGAAATTTAAGCTACCGTATAGTTTTTTTTTTATATGGGTCAGCCTTTTTAACATACAAAGGGAAAGGGAGGAAGTGCAGCGGGGACTTTTAAAAAAGGAATGACTGAAAAAGTCATGGTAACAGGGGTTCATTTTAAAAGTCAATACTTTGCACAGTGATTTACTATTCTTTTTTTAGAAATAATGATTAACTTCAAAATTTTAAAAAAAAATTAAAAAGAAACACCACTGTTAAACCCAAAAAAAGAGAGTTTGCACATAATTCCAAAGTAGCACTTGCTGTAAAAACATTTTCTTTTTTTAAGTTGAGGTGGTGGTCTGGTGGTTTAAACCCCGCTTCACACAGGGGCCCGGGTTTGATTCCGGTGGGTGGAAACATTTCATGTGTTTCCTTACACCTGTTGTCCGTTTCACCTAGCACAAATAGGTACCTGGGTTTAGTTAACTGGTGTGGGTCGCATCTGGGGGGACAAAATTAAGGGCCCCAAAGGAAAAAAAGTTAGTCATCGTGATGCCGATTTCTTGGGGTTTTCCCGGGTGGTAACCCCCGGGGTTAAAAATCCAAAGAAAAATTTTTTCTCTTATCTTTAAATAAAATTTTAAAATATTGTAAGACCGTGCGTATCTAGCAAATTACCCAACAGGGATATGCAATATATAATACTGCACAATTTGTTTGGGCTTCGTTGAGTTTAGCCAAAAACAAGTAAAGCCTTTCCTCACTTTACGCGGATTTGTTTCCCAAGACCCCCATCGGGGAAATGAAATTTTTTGCTAAGCAAAAGGGGCTATGTTATGGAGGAGTTTGTCACCATCCCTTTATATTTTTTTTAATATCACCTTTTCACCCTTTTATGAATTTTTTTGTATATTTTTTAAAAGTTATACAGTAGTGTATGAAATGCAATAAACAAATAAGGAAATAACTCGAAAATACAGTGGACCCCGAGTTTGAAATTTTTTAGTTCCAGAAGGATTTTGAGTGTTTTTACCGAATGAAATTTTTTCCCCTAAGGAATAAGGAAAATTGGGTTAGTCCCTTTTCAGACCCCCCAAAAATACACTTAAAAAAAACACTTACAATAAAACACTTACATAAATTTTTTATTGGGGCAGTTCGAAAATCAGGTGCCCGTACATATTTTGGTATGCAAAATGGTCAGGATCCATCAGAATTCCCAGTCTTGGGTAAAAGAGACATCGCTAAATGAGGAAGGCGACATGTTTTTTTTTTGATTATCGGTGCTATGTTTTTCTCGAGAGTTAAATATCCTCACAGCTTTTTTCCGCAGCAACTTGCTGGGCTTATTAGAGATTTTCGAGACTGCATTGTTTTATGTTTATGTTGATAAAATTTAGGCTGTGAAGAGTGATTCTGGAGAAATCGTTAATGATACAGCACCAACCCCACTTAACACAAGATTTTGCCCTTTAAATTGTATCACTCATTGTTTCCCAAAATTTTATGTCAGGTGTTTGTTTGGGGGTTTTTTAAAAAAAATATTTGAATTACATTGTTCAGCCCAGTTTCAGTGGAAATATTAATGATTTTTTGAAAACCCCTTGAACAAGTGGGCTGTGTAAAAAGGGGATTTGGGGACTAACAGTATTCTCCCCAGTTTGTGGTTTTTGTTTTATAAAACCCTCAGTCACTCATTGAGTTATAGAACCTTTCCCCAAAGGGCGGTGGATGTCTTAGCCTGGCGTATTGGGGTGTAGCATTTTTAAATTTTTTTTATTAAATCTTTACTGAATGATAATATACCCTTGCAAATTGCAAATTCTTTTCAAAAGAGTTTTTAAAGGGGAAAAGCTGCGTAATTGCAGGGTTCAGGAATCTTAGAAATCATGCAGAGACAAAACACAATAAATGCAGGGGCCCAAGACTGTTAAAATGCCCCCCAAAACAAAGAGGATTACCCGTAGCCCCTGGTTCCCTTTAAAAGGGTGCTGGGCAGGCACCTAAGTTGGTACCTGACCAGCCCGGGGGTTTGGTTTTTTTTTTTTTGTCTGTGTGCGCCCGTAAAAACCTGGTTGATCAGACCTGATTCACCCCGAGCCTGGGCTCGGACTGGGCCCAAGGGCATTTCCCCCAAAAAACCCCTTTTAGGTATTTTTAGGTATACATTTTTAAAAAATTTCTGGACACTACAATATTGGGGAAACCGGTTAGTTTTACTGTGGAAATGACTATGAAAAATTTAAACGCTGAAAGAAAATAAGTATTTTATCATCACGAAAATCACGGACAGGTCTCATACTAACCGGGCATTGGAAATGTAATGTGCCCGGATTTGGGGGGTTGCCGGGTTACAAATGGTTAGGTTAGAACTTTCTGCTACATCTTTATTTTTATCACTGCTTTTCCCCCACTGGCTTGCTGCTGTGGATTTTCAACCATTGCACAATTTCTGATCATATAATGAGGAATTTGAAATTTTGCTAGCCAAAATTTGTGCCAGATTATGATGGAACAGGATAAAAAGATTGCCGGGTTAGTATGGCCGATAAGGAAAAAATAACGACTTTGTTTTAAAAAAAAGGGGGAAGACCAAAATTAGGGGGAAAACATGTGGAAACATAAAAAAACATAAAAAACCAAAAGAAATGAAGAAATGGGAGGAACAATGGAATAACGAAGAGTGGAAGATGAGGCGAACCCTTTAATGGATTCAATTAAATATGCCAGACCATGGCTGTAGGAAGGGTACATAAGTTTATTTAAAAATAATGTTGTAAAATAAAATTTTAATCTTTAAAGCGTACATGATTATTATTGTGACCTAGGAAAAGGGAAATAAAGGGCAAACATACAAGGGCTGGCAAATGCATGCAAACGCTTTCACCCATTGGGCCCCGGAACTTTGCTCTTCCCGCAAACATTTCATTTTTGGAAGTATCCAAGACAGTGAACACAACACCACTTTATTATGCTGGGGGGGGGGGGTTTAAATTTAGAAAACCCACATTCAATGTACATATCCAAAAAAAAATTTCCTTCCCTGATTACATTAATACAATTTTAGCTGTCTCACTCCCCTGCCCCACCCCCTACCACACATGCCTACCCACTACACACTATTCTACCCTACCCCCCAAAAAACATAAGTTCTACCACAACAGTAAAGCCTTAAACATAATGGTATCACAGGTGCATACCCCTAAACACCCAAAAAGCCGTGTGCCAAATCACAAAACCCACAGTGAACACCATTAACCACCCACCAGCCATGCAGACCTCAAAAAAAAACTAAAACACACACAGTGAATACCACTAAACCTTAGATAATAGACATACATCTGCATACATGATGTTTACAGTGCTGTACTGTATTTTAGAGGTATGGAATTGCATAATGTATGGACTTTCTTTTTATAAAGTTGGTTTTGGTGACCTATGTATTTGGCTTTGTGTAGGCCTTTTGTAGATGGAGAGTCTAATTTTAATTTTGTCATTGTTTTTTTTTTTGTGTGTTTACCATGCTACTAGATTTTTTGTTTGTTCATTTTGTGTGAGAATATCGTAAATAGGAAGTCCATAACGAGTATTCCAGATTATACAGATGTAAATATTGCTATACATACATACACGTACACACAAATTAGGTAATACGTACACAAACCACACACATGCACACTAGTGACACACACACATGCACACTCTTATTCAGTTCTTCCTCAGGTCTTACGTAACTAATCTTTGTGTCATCACCCATGTTGTCACTTATGTCACTTATGCACTATTGAACACTGCAAATAGTTGTGATTCTCTACAATGTCTCATTCTCTATTATCCCATTGGATATATTTGTGATGAGATTGATAAAAAAAATTACTTGAAATAGAAATTTTACTTTAGTCTCGCTCATATACACATGACTGGGACATGTATTCATATTCTCTCATATATTGTTTATTGAAATGGAATTTAGTGGTCATCGAACACCTCATCACACTTAATTTTCTTCCCCTTTCAAATAAGCAAGGAAAGTAATGGGATAGTTGGATCTATTATGCAGAACATTTCAGATTTAGTTATACTTCAGTTGTACCTAAAAAAAATTTACAAGAATTTAACTTTATGATTGATATATAACTTTTCTCAGGAAATGTTTTAGCAAATATCCAATTATTTCCTGCATTTGACTGCTTTTTTTTTATACATACACATTTTTCCACAATGTCCATATTTGCTTGTAATGTTATGATTGGACTGCCCTGGCTTCATTGTTTATATGTACGTCAAACCAGTGTTATTGTCATGTTCATCTGGCAAAAGGAACTTGGAATGCGCATCAAAATGCATTTCTGTGTCATTGTTGAAGCCACTGGTCAGATTTTGCAAGAAAGCTGAGGTTCGCAGTACTTCTGTGTTATGTATGCTGTCCCCTTGGTTAAGAATGTAATGAAGATAATTTTCTTTAAGAGAAAATTAGTAAATGGTTAAAAAAATTTGGTTAAAACACTTGTTCATTCCATTTGAGGACCCTGCTACCAGTTGGTTATTGGTGCACCCATCTTAACTGTAACCTTTCCCTCCCTGCTTTAATTGCTTGTATATTATTTTTAGATCCCAACCTGATTTTATATTTTGATCCCCAAAGTTTTCCATGCTAAAGTGAACCATAATAATCAGCAGACACACACATAATTCATCTTTAAATCTCCCTCAACAGTGTTTTGCTTTATGCTGCATTACTTTAAGACTCTAATTATTGTTCATATCCACCACAGGAGGTTCTCAACTACCTGAATCTGGCCTTCGCCTCCTCTTCACTCTCGAGATGCTACTGATATGGGTTGCATTGGGCTTTGTCAAGTACTTCACTTCTGTATGGACCATCCTTGACTGTTTCATTGTCTTGGTGCCATGTGTAGCCTCTTCATCGAGCAAGATAATCTTATAGCTCTGAGAAGTCTTCGTACACTGAGAGCCTTGGACCCCTCCGAGCTATATCTCGCTGGGAAGGAATGAAGGTAAAACACAATTTTGCATTTACTATATGCGGACTTTTATTTGTGGAAGTAGATATGAAAGTGTAAGTTTTTGGTGTACAAATTTTTATTTATCCTATATACAGTACAAAAGTGAGCATTTTTCATCTTTATTTTGGATTTTTTACCATTCGTATTTTAACATTATTTGTCTTGAATTTAAATTTCTGTAGTTTGTAGCTGTTATTACCAATACATTGCTAGTCTTACTTAACCCTTTGACTGTTTCAGGGCCCTCTCTGAAACTGTCATTCTATGTCGCCAAATATTCGAAAAAAAAAAAAATTATTTTTTCTTATGAAAATGTTAGGAATATTTTTACTAGTGTTTTAAGCCTAAAAAAAAATTTTTGCCATCAGTACTTACCGAGATATAGAGCCGCAAAGTTTGCAGAAATCGATGTGCGTATGGCAACAGCGGCGACTGCCGCCCACCCGGTATTCTTTTATTTACTCTAATTCAAAGGTTTCTTGCATTTTTCAAATTTTTCTTTTCCAGGTAACTTATGGGGCTGTGACCAATGTAAGGTGCATTGTTCAAATATACACTCATTATTTACAACAAAATAACAGAACAAACTTTATCACTTTATTTTTGTGTATACACTTTGTTTACACAAACAAACAATACAAAACAATGTTTTTTACTATTGTTCCATAATATATTACATAGGGTCCCAGTCACTAAGCATGTTCCTAGAACTGCTGCAGCTTGTGGAACTCTTTGAAACATGGGTAAAATGCAGAGGGCATTTTCACACTCCTCACACATAAACGAGTGTCTCTGCGTTGTTTTGGGGCGTTTTGTGGTATGCATACATACATAACACCTCTTCTGAGAAATTTTTCTTGGCATAGTAGGAGGCAGTTGTAGGGGTAGTGATCACCAGGCCTCAAACGAGATGACGTCTGTGGGCGCTGGTCTATTGCAGGAGTTGCTCCTTTGTACTTTGCAATTATTTGTCTGATTACTGACAGGCAAAATTCACCATAATTTTGGTGTTTTGTTGGTCTTCAACTTGTATATGTTATAAGCATTTAGCATAGAGATATCAACAAGATGGAAAAAAGTTTGATATACCACTTAAAAACTCTTGCGTACACAGTCTGCAAACCCAATCTGCATGTCACATTTGTCCACTAAGCGCATATTGAGGTTGTAGTCCATGACACTGCAGGCTTTAGAATGGGTTCATTGGTCTCTCTGTTGTCCCTGCCACTGGGTACCATTTCGTTTGTGTGAACTGATGTCAACAATTGGACATCACGTTTGTCAGCCACCGAAATGCCATGATGCCCATTGGCAGCAAAGGCTTGCACCTCACCTCTGCGAGTGCCAGCGTCGAACCTTGGCATATTTTTGCGATTACCACGCACTTTTGCCACACAGTCTGTCAATTTTCACTCGCAAGAAATCACTGAGTAAGGGCTTGTGTACCAGTTATCAGTAAATAAATATGCCCCTTACCAAAAGATATGGTTCCATCATTGTTCGAACCACATCACCAGAGATACCCAATAACTTCATGGTATCTCTCAAAGTATTACTGCCAGTGTACACAATAAAAATCTAAAACAAGACCACTTCTGCAATCACACGTACAAATAGCTTATACCAAAGCGTTCCCCTTGCTTGGTATATATTGCTTGAATGAGAGTCTTCCTTTGAAATTAAATCAAGGACTCTCAATAACAAGCTTCCTGAAGGGATAAAAATACATGCAGCACTTTTTTTTCAGGTACATAAACACATTTCTTATCTTTATATAACCTGTCGCTTCTGTCAGGCCTGGTTTTGTCTGAAAAGTGTAACATACGCAACAGTATCAGGAAACGATTGACACCTATAATGTCACTAAAAAATGGAGTTGAAAATCAGGCGATCTGTTGTCCAGTATGTGGTGACAGTGTGCTTATACACATGTGGCATAAGCATTATTGTGGCAAAAAACAGTACATTTTCTGCCACAGTTTTCTCCTTCCACTTGTGTAGCCGTGATTTTGGTGAGAGAATTGTATTTGCCATGGTGTATTCACAGTATGTGTTGGTTTCCCTGACAATGATGTCCAAACAGGGGTTTTATCGAAGAATAACTCAAAGCAGTCCATTTTACTGGCATTGTTCCCAAGTGGCAAGATGGCTTTATTCCACTTTGGGGTTTCATCAAGTCATGGGGACTGGGAACAAACTCGTCACCGTCTGCCAATCCCAGATGCGGTCTGCTGTGGGGTCTGGAATATTGTACCGTGGTTGTGGCTGTGCAGGTTGTGGTGGTGCAGGTTGTGGCAGTGTGGGGTAGGGGGAGGCTGGTTGTTCTGCTGAGTCAGCCGCGTGGCTAGTAGGGGTGGCCCGTGATGGTTTCCACATGGGCCGTGCCACCTACTAATCACCACCCCTGCCTCCTCCCTCACTGTCACCATTTTATACCCATCGTACAATATCGTCATCTTCACTTCAGGGCGTGGGGTTGGGCCACGGGATGTGCTCCCAGATTTCTCCTTCCCTTGGAAAAACATATGAAACACTACCAGACCGCATGCTACGTCGTACATACTGGCGCTTCACTGGGGAATATTCACTCTCACTGTCACTAGAACTGCTTTCAATGACCTTGAAATCATATCACTAAACACTGCTATCATCAGGGTGTTTTTACACGACCAAATAGTTTCCTCTTTCGTCTGGTACAGGCGAAGGTGAATGTGAACAAGCCGGCACAGCACCAGAGTCGAAGGGTTTGGGTCATCTGGGTTTTCGTCACTATTTACGTTATCCTGGGCACTTTTCGGTAACACTCACTTGAAAACCCTTGAATTCACTGTCACTGACATTTTCATCGCTGTTAAAAGCTATCACTTGGGAACAAAAGACCTCCAATCCGCCGAGGAGTGAGGAACTTCTTACCGAGAGGCATGGTGAAAATGGACTGACAACATGGCGTTCCCACAATGCACCGCTAGGTCCCAGATTTTTTTCACAGGGTGCACACCGACCACTGAGACCCATTCTCTCCCGTGTAGGCCTACCAGGCCTTTGGCGCGCGATTTGAAGCCGCTAGAATTTGTGCGTATAAATACGTCAGAAACATTGGCTCGTAAGACGTATTTATACGTCGGAAACAGTCAAAGGGTTAAATTCCTAATTTCTCTCTTCTCCACTCTGAGTAGTTTTGTTTGAATGCTGCTTCACTTAAAATGTTTTCTTGTTTATTATGTCCCTCTAGTCTGTGCCATTATATTTGTATATAAAATCATTATAAATGTATTCTTTAGTTTCAAGTTTTTTTTTCTAGTTGGGTTTTGTTTCAGTATTTGTCATTGTTGCCCTTGTTAAATCATTTAATGGGTTGATTTGATACTGTTGCACTATAGAAAATGTATTCTTTTTTCTTTTCATCATTTAGCCTTTTTGGCAGTTTATTCTTTCCTCCATCATTAGATCTTGTCTAACTGGAGTATGGGCATGAGGTAAACAAATGGTGGAAAATAACATGTACAGCAAAAGCAGATTTTTTTCACTATGATGTTTCACCTATAAGAAAACATTGTAACAAAAATAAAAGGGCTCATTTTACTATACGTAGAGTTTTCTACCACCAGGTCTTAAAGTGATATTTCTCTGTAGCTTGTTTCTTAATGTTCTTGACCTTTTTACAATTCTTCCTTAACCCTTTCAGGGTCGAGACCCCTCATCCTGAACTCATTCCGAGGGTTGAGAAATATTAGAAAGGTATTTTTCTTACCAAAATATTAAGAATATTTTTCGAAGTGTTATGGAAAAAATTTTTTTTGCAATCGATACTTATCGAGATATAGAGGCGTGAAGTTGACAAAGTGAACCGCATACAGCAACATCACTGACTGCTGGTCATGCAGTAATCATATATTTTCTTTTTTTCTACATTTTTATTTATTTTTTAACATTTTATTTTTTCAAGTAACTTGTATGGTTCGAGACCAGCATAAGACATATTTTATATGTATATACACTCATTGTATGCTACACAATAACCGCACAAACGTTGTCATTATATTCTTTACAAAACATGTTCACACAAACGAACAATAAAAAATGTCATTTACTACTATTTTTCTATTATATTTATACACATTTAGTCACTGGACATGTTCCTAGAAGTGCTGCAGCTTGTGGAACTCTTTGAAACATGGTGTCATGCACAGTGGTGTTTTACACTCGCCGTATGTTTTTGTGAGCGTTTATTTTTTTTTTTTTTTATATGTGCACAGACACCTCTTTTGAGCATTTTTCTTCTTAGTAGGAGGCAGTTGTATTAGGTAGTGATCACTGGGTCTCAGACGAGAGGGTATTTGTTGATAATTTCATGGGCTGTTTTCTATTGCAGGTGTTGATACTTCGTACTTGAATATTACTTGTCTGATGACAGACAAATGAAATTCACCGTGTGGTGGTTGTTTCTGGTCCTCATCTTATACATATTATAAGCATTGAGCATGGACATGTCCAGAAGATGGAAATAGTTTCATGTACCACTTATAACTCTTGTGAACACAATCAGCAAACCCAATCTGCATGTCACATTTGTCCACTGAATGCACATTCAGGGTGTAGTCCATCACAGCTGAAGGTTTTAGAATGGGTTCATTGGTGTCTAATCTGCCTGCCATTGTCATTTCGTTTCGGTGAACTGATGTCAACAGTGTGACATCTCGTTTGTCATGCCACTAAAATGCCATGATGTCATTGGCAGCAAATGCCTGCACTTCACCTGAGTGCCTGCACTGAGCCTAGGCATATGCTTACAATTTGCATGCACTGTACCCCACACATGTCATGTTCACCTGCAAAAAATCACTGAGTAAGGGACTTGTGTACCAGTTATCAGTATATAATGTCTGCCCCCTTACCAAGATATGGTTCCATCATTGTTCTAACCACATCACCAGAGATACCCAATAACTTCCTGATATCTTGCAATGTATTACTT